TTTGAATGAATTAAAATAATTTCTAAATCTTTCACCAGAAATGTTCTTTTAAGTATGCACATTCCCTTTTTAAATGTTTAAAACTGCTTTTAAACCAAAAAATAAAATAATAATAAATAATTATTAAGTAAAAAAAGCAGTAAAATGTGGTTCCGTTTTAAGAAAAGTATGTTTCTAATAAAACATAAGTATACTTTTTAAATATTAGGACGTTTGAATAGAACTATTCCATTTCAAAAGAATATTTTTTTAAAAATATTATTATGAAATTCTGCGAGTGAAAGCAAAAAAAACTCAGGTATTGTTTGTACATTTTGAAAACATTCTTCAGAAAAATAACAGTCACATTCAATAATATTCAGTGTTTAAAATCAATGCACAATATACTGAATGCTTTTCCTTTCAGAATTCCCAGCATTTTTATTTGCGATGGGAAAAAGTAAGCAATAATCAATATATTTTAAAGAACTTATTTAAATGATCCATTGAGAAAATAAGGATAAATTTTGGAAAATTAATTTTATATGCAATTCTTAATGTTTTGAAAGTTAGACGGCTGTAGTTTTAAACATCTTTAAGAATTAATTGAGAAAGAAAATTTTTAGTCAGTTTTATTGAAAGTTTTTTTATCCAAAACCGTGATTAACCTTAGGCCTTAAAGTATGTTCTAAAAAATAAACCTACAGATTTAACAAAACTTCAGCCCAACTGGATGCAATTTAAGGCTTAAAAAATTAGTATAACATTGTTTAAAATAAGTGTATTATATCTAAATTTAGACTGTTAAATATTAAAAATATCCTTTGTATATTGACTTAGAATTTATATCTCGCAGTCTATTTTGTATTGAACCGTATTGTAAGTACCATTTTGTGTACACACTTACACTTTCAATATTTAATTTTTTTTTTAATCAAAAGCATGTGAAATACATTTTTCACACATTGTTGAAACTGCTTCACAGCTTCATAACGCGTGAAATAGAAAAAATGCGATGCAAATTATTTGGACAGGTGAAGAACACAAAACGAATCACCTTGAATAACTTTTGATCTAATTGGATTTTCTAATTAGATCATTCCAACTGAATCTGATTCTAGTTACACCTACTCGAAATTAAACTAAATGGTTCACAGGGGTTGCCTTAAATATACTAATTAATTTGAGGTGATGATAAATTAAATTACGAAATCAAAGCAAAAACCTATTTTCTCATTATAAACATATACTTTCTCTGGTCCATACCATTTTTTTGCAGCTTATTTAGGTATGGAATATCATATATAAGAATAGAATGCCACATATAGGTGTGGAATACCCTTGGGCTACATTTAGGTATGGAATAAACATACCTAAATATGGTCCAAATAGTATGGCCGCGAGAGTGATTCAAAGTTTGGACTCCTTAATGTTGGTTTTATTTTTTGCATATTTTGCTATATCTCAAAAACTTTTTGAGCGAATTAAAAACTTTTTGCCCTCAATTTTACAATTTTTACAATTCGCTTATCCGAAAATGATTCCATTTAATAGCCATTTATTTCTTATAATTTTACTGAATAATAGTCGAAAAACATTTGAATTGTGAGGTATACAATTTTTACACTATTTTAAAGAATGTAATTTTAAATGCAAAATACAAAATTTTAGGGAAATCTGTCAAAAATTTCCTCTTAAATCAAATTTTAAACTTGTGACTTTTCTAAATTCAATTTCTCTGAAAGTATTCGCCCGATTTCCCTCAGATTTTGCATTTTGCCATTCAAATTCAAAATTACAATCTTTAAAATTATGTAAAAAAATTTATACTTTATAATTAAAAAATTTTTCGACAATTGTCAATTAAAAAAAGAAAAAAATAATTCTTAAAAAAGGCTTTTTATGTACAATTACCTTTGATTAAACAAATGTCATAATTATGTGCAAAAGTTTTTTTTAAACTATCTTAATTTTGTTTTCAGTGAACACCTATTTAACACTCGTTATTCAGGTATCAATCAGTAGGGCAGATTTGTGAACCAATTTTTCAGGAGCATCATATTAGGTGGGCCAACGTTGCTCCCACAGTAAGGACCAATATTACAGAGAATGAAAGGACATCCACGCCTTCTCCGGGATTTGAACCTAAGACCTTTCTCAAGTATGGTCAGCTCCCTGACCCCTACACAGTATAGCCGGCGAAAACTTAAAAATTTCTCGTGATTCAGCGAAATACGCAGAAAGTAAATTTTACATTAAAGGATCAAAGTTTGAACCTCTCTCTTGATCAATCTTTTGGGACAATATTTCTCAGATTGGGAGTATTATTTTGAGGATAAGAAATCCAAATATGTTAGTAAAAAGGTTTATTCAGAGAAGGTAATTTACTAAGAGAAAGTACAGTTTTGTATCCGATTTTTTAAAATATCGTCTGCACTAAGTAATTAACTCATTAGTGGCTACCCCCGTGAGTTTCAGTCCTAGTGCATAAAAATCAGATAGTTGGATCTGGAGTAATTCAGGGTGATTCGTTTTTTCTCTTTCGTGCCCAGTGCAAAAATTCGAATTGACTCAATTGAAACAATATTAGATCTAAAATTTTGCACGAGCCAATAAAAATCTCTGCTCAAATTGTGTTTGTTGGGTGGATCGTGTCTCTTTATTCAACAATTTCTTGCAATTTAAAATCTTATAGCATTAAAATATAATGATGCATGGCTAAAATAACTCCTGATACTTACAAAACAAATTGATTAGTAAAATGGAAGAAAACGCAATGAGTAGTATTACTAAATGGAAAAAAACTTATTCCAATATTTTACAATAATAATTTAATCTGTGAATATTTAATCTGTGAATATTGTGTAGATTTATTCAACGATTTGTTTAATCTAAAATATTTCTAAGCTCTGAATTTTGAAGCTGAAAATTACCAGATGCGGCATATTATTTTTTCACGTTTCCTTTGATCTGTAGCTCTGTTTTAATTTGAATATTTTGTTTCAATAATTTACGCGATATTTCAATTTTATTTAGTTATCGTTATCAATTTTTAGCAATTTTGTCAACTATCGAAATTTCATTGTTAATTATCATCAGCATCTTATCAACATCAGCATCCATACCATATTATCAGCATCCATATCAACAGTTATATCGTTATTTTTCATCCAAATAAGGGAGACATAATAAGTTTTTAAGAAAAAATAAAATTTGAAGTCAAAATGTTTAATTCTCTGACCTTAAAAATATATGTCGGTTTCTGTTTGACAGAAATAAATTAAAAACGTCTCAGAAAATGTTTTAACGCTCTAAATATCTGATGTTGTATGAAAAAAACAAAACTTCCGAGTGAAATTCACGCGCTAAATTAACGCAGCTAGCATGAAAAACCTTAATATAAGTAGCACAAAGTAACATGAAAGATTCTATGTTTAATTATTAAAAATAATTTAATTTTGAGAAATTTTAGCTTTACACAGTGTCTTATTTACAGTTATGTATAGTTGTAACAGCATATTTATGAGTTGAAGAAGACAACACATATTTGAAGGTACTTTACCTTTTAAAAAATTCCACACATTATATTGTTTTTAAAATGTTAAACTACTGTAATTTTGCAGAATAATTTTAAAATATTAAAATGATTTAACATTTTAGTTGTGGTCACATGTATCAAATTATTTCTGTTATATATTTAATAAATAAAACAGCTGAAGAATATACTTTTTTAATTGCTAGATATTTAACCAATATCTTACAATAACTATAGATGACTGTTTTTAGTAAATCACATTTCTTTTATGAAAAAGCTCTATTTTAAATTAGATAAGATTTGTTATTTATACTAAAAATGTGTTAACCATTAAAACATTTTAAAAATAATTCTTAAGAAATTATCTAATCGAACTCAAAATGTTACTCACTTTATTTCCGGATATTCTTAAATATTTGATAACGGAAGTATCATAAATCATCTTTCTGATAAATAATTATTACCTATACATTATACACTTAAACAGTTCAAGCAACATAAATCACTTATCTAATCTTTTCAAATCAACCCAAATATGCTAAGTAGAATGATTTCATAAATATTTGAAAAGCTTTATTTGATGTCTAAAAGACTTCTAAAATCTTATAGATTAATTACAAAGGCTCCCATGTACATTGGCAAATATCTATTTCAATACACGTAATTCTAAATCGTGATGGAAAATTGAAGGCATTAATCTTTATATGTTGTTTCATCAATTTAAACTTGAAATGTGATTAAAATCTTCGGAAGGGAAGTTACGCTAATGGTGGAATTTGTTAGTAATATTTTAGGGTTAAAAGCTTTCTTAAATTACTATGCATTCTTTGATAAAAAAAAATGTGTTTTTTAAGCGTTTAGTTTCAAAACCATTTTAATAAATTCTTGAAATTTCACAGAACATATAAATACGTTGTATTTATGACTTAAAAATTCTAAACATTTTAGAATTATATATTTTAATTATTATTTTTTAATAACATTTTAATAAATTTTATTTTTTTCAAATTTTGGTCAAAAGGTACGTTTGAGTTTGATATAATATCTTTCTTGGTAGGTTATTAACGTTGTGTTACATAAAAATGAGATAGAATGGTTAGAGATAAAGTTATAGTTATACATTTCATAAAATGTAACTTTTTTGTAGGATCATCCTAATCATATTAAAATCAACTTGATTATTGAATAGAACAAATGTATTTGGATAATATAATTTAATCCTTGCACAATGAAAAAGTTGCTGAGTTGAAAAGTATAAATGAGAAATAAATGTCAACTAACTAGACTCAGAATTAAACAAAGAGGGTACTTGCAAAAACAGTTTAGTATTAGAAACATTTAAGGGGAATTATTTGTGCTTCTTAATTCAATGACTTTTGTAATGGACTTAGAAACAGGCCTTTCGAATACTCACAGGCAAGCAAAACTGTCTTTGAGTAATTTAGAATTTTAAATTCATTGTAATGAAATACGTTTTGATTCTTACCTCTTGGAGCATCTAGAAACCCAAAGGGAGATAAGATTGCTTCTCTGTATGGGTAGAAAGGTCTTTTTGCCAGTTTCATTTCATAAGCATCGCCAAAAGCACCATCTTCTTGGATCGGCAAAAGATGTACCACGTCCATGAAAACAAGGAAAGACACAAGTTGTATTATAAAATTCATGATGCTTTCGTGTAATTTTTCTTTTGTATCCGAATAACTCTTCCTTATTAGTGATCTTCCTTGTCTACTTAGAGTCTTCGTCTTACAGAAGTTCTAGAATTTCTAAAAAAGAGGAAAAATGTATGAGTTCTTATAAAATATATTATGAAACGTAATAGTATTTGCTTTTAAAATTAGTTAACAAATTTAAAATTATCATTGCTCTATGATAAACTACTGTTCATATTGCATTTCCCCATTGCTGTTGTTACATAAATTACACTTCGAATTAAATGATTTCAGCAAATTTCAATGAGAAATTACTTAGTTTATATTGCTAACCAAGGTTTCTTGTGTAAATACCAAAATCTCAATTCCCCTGTTCCATGCTAAATTATTACACACCTAGACATTTTTTTGTTTAAGTTCCTATTGGCTATGCCAAATGAATTAAAAAAACTATTGTAAAAATCAATAGTATTCTCTATTTGGTACCAAAAAATTCTTTAAAGACTTTAAAAGTTAAAAATTTTAGTTATTCAAATTTTGCTTTTTATTAACATGATCAATTACAGTGATACAATTTTGAGTAAAGTACTAAACTTCATAGTTTTCGTAATGAAAGACCCTTTTTTTATACATAATACTTTAATAGATTATACTATAGAATACTACACAAAAATGCACCAGATATCATTTTTAAAGATAAATTATACCAACTAACAAAATACAATTTTCTAGTAAACAATATACATACTTTAAATAAACGTTTTCAGATTTTAAATGCTTATAAGTAGTTTAGCTAATTAATTTTGATTATTTTACAACCACTGTGGCTTTTAAGCATGCAATTTGTTTTGTAATATTACCCATATTCTTTCTTAAACGTAATTAATTATAATGTTAATTAACATGTTTTCTTTTTCTAATGACATGGGGATCAAACATTGTAAAGTAATATCCTATTCAGTTCTTTTGTATAATCGGAAAAAGTATAATGGTGTAAGCTGCTTTTAACGAGAATAAAATTGAAAGAGAAGCACTTTAAGTAACACTTCAACTTAAATTTGAAGTTTAAACGAAGAATTGTATTTTCTTTTTATTGTAAAATGAGGAACAGACTTTTCGTCAATTTGAACGAAATACAAGACAAAGATGTATAATGATTTGAAAGTAAACTGATGTGACAGAATTTAATTTAATCCTCAGAACAGAAACTTTTATATTAGTATTTACAAGCTAGTCTTTGCAGCCTTATTTCTTATTTCCGATCTGAGTAAAGTAATCACTAACAAGAATTTATTTTAATTGAGTTTTCCATAAGAAATACGTATCTAAAGACATCTGATGTGTATATTTGATTAAAAGTAATCCGTAATACAAAGTAAACAAAATAGGTTGCGCTTTAAAATTGATCCTAACGTTTTAGAAAGTTACGAGCAATTTTTAAGTGAAGAGATATTTGTTATTCTAAAATTAATCAATAATCAATGAAATAGAAAAAAATAAACCTCATTTTATTTAAGTTAGTGAAACATTATTTGCATACCTTTAATTTGAATTATTGGAATTATTTTAAAATTTATATAATCCAGAATACTATTTTTATTGTTGTCAAACACAATATTATTTATTGTAAAAATTGATAATCAATGATAAGTGCAACAATGTACTTAGTGGCCATCTAAGTATGACCACCAACGCTCTGTCTCTATGAGTCAACTTTTTCCATTGATAGACATTTTTTTTGACAGGGGTATAAATAGATTGTCAAAGCACATAGGACATTCAATAGTAGGAGGTCGAATAGTTAAACTTTATTACACAAAATTTCACTCAGATTGAGATCTTGAAATTGTGGGGCTAACTCAACAAAGTCTCAATGATATGCCTTAATCTATTTCTTTAGAATACCAGAAGTATGGCAAGATTTTCCATTCTGCTGAAAGCACCCTTCACTTTTGGTTTATGCATCGAAATTACAAGAAGTACTATATACTTGGCAATCAACGATATTTAATCATGTTCTACTAAGACTACGACGTACACGAAATAAGGACCCTTAAGTATGTCAGCTTTTCACGAATCCTCTTCTGCAATACTGTTATGCAATAAATAATTTTCATAAAACTGATTAGTAGACATAACAAAGCGGTCATGCAATGTCGAGTAAATTGCAATATAAATATTTTAATGTATGTAAAATAGTTTTTTGTTGGTGTTACTAATTATTCTCATTTTTACATTAAACTCAATCCTTCAAAGTAGAATTTTTTTTTGTTGAAATATAGAAATACCACAGTGGGTGAAATTTTATTTTATAAGGTTCGAAATGATTTTTTAATATTTTTATGACAACCAAACTTTTGAAGGAAAATTAAGTTTCTCTTTCGAATCATTATAAATTAAATATAAGACAACATTTTATAAAAAAACAATTTTCATAGGGTTTAAAAATGAATTAATTTTATGCAACTTTAGTTAGATAATATGAGAAATATACTTAGATCTCTAAATTGTAGTAAAGAATTCGACTAAAAGACATGTTAAATTAAAGGTAGTAAAAATAGTTAATTATAAATGACAAAAAATGCTTTATTAAAAGCATAAAAATTATACGAATGTTTATAAAAAAACATTAATACGAATTTTTTTTTGGAATAATAGAATATATTTACTATTACCGAAATATTTGATCTAAACACTAAGTTACAATTCTAATTAAATTAGACTTGTATTATATATTAAATTACAGATGGTATCCAAGGGAAATGAAAAACTGTTTGTTGTGAATAAGACAAAAGTGTTTTTTTTTTAAAGTTATTTCAAAATAAAGCATAATTATAATTTTATATCAGTATAAAATTGATATTTTTAGTTTACTATTTAGTTACTATTTGCTAATAGACATTATTCATGCGTAATGTACTCAATTTGAATGTTTTATCAAGTATATAATTATCAAGTAATGTAAATAAATTAACAAATAACCCAAGAAAGAAGTTTTTGTCTTATTTTTTCCAAGCTTCCAGAAGTTATAAATCATGTATAAATTACTTTTGGAGCATAAAAGTTCTTTTACTTTGAATGTGAGTAAACTAAAAATTTCTTTTGAAAATAAAGAAATGATTTAAATATTTTTTTAATAAAACAACTTATCGCCATATGGAATACTTTAAAGTTTATTGGCATTTTTACTATATTCATATTTACAAACATCATTGAATAAATTTCTCATTCACCCTAAACTTCTCAAAAACATTTACATTCGTATGAAAAGAAATATGAAAACCGTTTTATACAGATTTAGATAAACACCATTAATAATATTAAATTTAAGGGAAATTTATTTTGACAGAATATATTATGATTTTATTCCCGTTTCATACTCATGAAAATTTGCAGCTATTTTTTTAAAGTAATAAAACTGTTTTGTTTTTTAATACTTCAAAATTGCAGATCACTTTTAATTATGATAATTTACTTTACTTAATTGAATCAATATTCAAATTTAAGTAAAAATATTACTAAATAGTTTTTTTACAGTATTTTAAAGAAATAAACATTTGAATTCATAATTACTTTTGAGTGCTAAATTCAACCAATTTAAAGAAATTTTGTTCTTACTTGATTCAACAAAAATAATAAAAATAGAACTTGAATTAAAATGATTGAAGTTACTTGTAAACACTTTTATTTCATTTTCATACACATTTTATTTATGAAAACAAATATGTCGTCAGCGTAATGATGCCATATCTCATTATACTATAATACAAAATAAGTATTTGTGTCGTTAGCTGACATCGATAAAGTGTTTGTTTAGAAAACAATTTCGGCTACTTTAAAAAATATTTTCACGTTCTAAACGAATTTTCCAAATTCACTGCTTTCATCCTTAATTTTTTTATGTAGTTTTGTTTTATTGTCTTGCACTTTTATTGTCTTGTGCTGTTAAATATAGTTCAAAATTGCTGCAAACCTAATAAGTTGCTAAACAGAATTTAATGCATTTTCGAGCATATCAGTTGTTCATAATTATACCGGTTCATCTTAAACTGAAACACGAATAAATTTATCAACTTATTTAGCCTGGAGAAAATTAAACATATTGCTTCGCATTGTATTACGATTCGAGGTTAAAATAATTTTTTGGACATACGGTCAATATCTTTTTAGAATATATGGTTATCAATAATTATTACAAAGTTTTAAAAATTTGAGTCTAACCCAGAAGACAAGGGAAATTCCCGATTAAGTATTGGGACAAACATGATTTCATGTTTCATTGCGATTTCATGTTAGACATTTTGTGAAACTTTGCAAGATTTGCTTTACAATGAAAGCAAAACTATGAAAACCTCAAAGGTTTGTCAGATGATAAGGGGATTTAAACCCATAATCCGTCTGCCACCGAGGATCTTATACGTCAGCACAGAGGTCGGGCAGAGAAGGTAGCAATATACGATCGATCAAGATTCGATATTCCGTTGCGTAACTAGGGGGCAAGGATACCACCTTCGAAAACCCATGGCTTGCCACATGGAGTTAATACACATTAGAAGTAATTGTTATGATATAGTCTAAGAAAAATACTTTTTATGTTAAACTATGAGTTCGATTCACACATAATGTAATTCGATCCACTTAATGTAATGTAACTCATAATGTGAATCGAGCTCAGTTTGCTTTAATAATTATTGGTTTTAAAGTAGAAAGTCTCAGCATTGGCTTGCTGTATGAACATCTATGTGACCTTTATAATTTTAGTTTAATGGAAAAGTCGGCCATGTGGTAGTGGTAAGCGTGCCTGACTGTGAAGCCAATGGCAGCAGGTTCGAATCCCGCTGAGGGTATAGATGTTTCTCTGTGTGTCGTCTTCTGTTGCGTGGTGATTGTGGCCTACCCTATGAACGGGTATCTGTGACATTGTGACGTGGGTGCCTTCGTAACTTTGGTTCACAGGTGCCCACCGGGTAACGATAGATGAGCAGCACTTCCGGAATTTAAGGCGAAGAATAGAAGTTCAGTGCCTGCCGTTATTGAGAAAAAGGTTTAAAAGGAAATGCATAAGTGGAGGTTTTATTGACACCTCATCCTATAAACTATATCATTACCGTATC